CCCTTCTCCTCCACACTCCACCCAGAAATGATCCAGTGAAACTAGGAGGAGGTGATTCTCCTCCTCCCTCCTGCTGCTGCTCCTGCTGGTCTGGAAAGGACTGCAGGAATCTCCGCTCTGTTCTGCTCTGCTCTGAGGCAGGGTCTGGGGAGGGGAGATCGTTCTGTGGGGAGAGGGTGCCGCTGTGGCCCGGGGTGTAGCTCTCCCAGTGCGCGGCGGGGTGCGTGGGGGCTGCTTGGTTCCTGACCATGGGGAAGGACCAGGAACTGCTGGAAGCTGCTCGCACTGGGAATGTGGCTCTGGTGGAGAAACTCCTCTCTGGGAGGAAAGGAGGGATCCTGGGCAGTGGATCTGGAGCTATTCCCTTATCCAGCTTACTGAGGTAGGGACATCGTTCCCCATCAGATGCTGGGGATGTTAACCTCTTCTTCCCTGTCATCATCATCGCCCCTGTCATCTTCATTTCCATTCCTGCATCCTTCATAGTAACAATAAATCGTTCACTCTCTAGCCAAGTACAAGTGTGCCTGTGTTTAAAGTCACAGGCAGTCATTTTATTAATGTAGTGATACTGAATTTCTTGCCTTCAATGCGTCTGTAAGGTACTTTTTCATTCTGTTACTAGCTGTGGTGCAGAACTTACATTTTTATTGCTGGACTAATATGCACAATATATTAATTACCCTTCCTTTGATATTTCATCCTCAAATTGCTACTTTTAATCACAGATGGAAGTGTTAATCACAGACAAGGCATTGCATTGTGGAATTCTGTGTAAAAAGCCATAGCTTCACCCCTTACCCTCACCCATAGTTGCTACCCTCACTTGCAGAAGAAATTGGGCATGCTGTAGTAATGAGCCTACAAAACAAAGAAAGGAGATCTCTTTTATGAGAGATCATTGAGGCAGAGGAGGTGTAAAACTTATGGAGCAGGTTAGGTAAGAGCAGCATTACTTTCAAGGTACCAGGATTTAATGAAGTGAAACTGGGTTACTGGCTGTGTTGGGTGAAAGTACTTAACTTTGGTCATTAGTCATATCTCAGGCAATCTACAGCATGGCTTTGATGTTGAGTTTCATCATGCTCTTAAATAAGAGCATTATCACAAGCATTTGTGGCATTTGACAGTATTCGAATGAAAGGAGGTCTGCAGCACACAGTCCAGTGCTAGTGTTCAATACTACACTGGGCACAGCAAAAGAAGACAAAATGAACTGAAATGCTGTCAACCTAGAACTTGAATAAATTGGGGTTTTGTTTTGGGTTTTTGTTGTTGTTGTTATGGTTTTTTTCTCTGGAAAGAAAGGCCTAGAGAAATGGAAATTGCTTAAGTAAAAATATGTATTTCTACTGCCAGTACCTCCTCATCAATATATTTATATTATTTCCATGTTCCATGTCAGAGGAAATTTAGGGTAACTGTCCAAATTATACCTGTTTAAACTCTATTATAAAGTCCTGCTATTTTAAAGCTGATTTTAATGCTGTAAACAACAGTTCAGATATTCCTAGTTTACCAAAGTTCTTTGGTGGCCCAGTTCAATTAGTTATTGCACCATTGTTTAATGACTTGCCCCTTGACCAAAATCAAAACACACCATGCAATTGTGTTTTTGTACTGTACTTGAATAGGCTGCTTAATAAGGAGTGTGTCAGGTAATTGGTTGAATTTAAAATATGAGTTTTCTTAGAATGTGATACCCATATTTTGTGTGTGCAGAATTAAGTTCACTTCAGTACAATGACTAGCCATTTATAATCCAGTTGTGCTGCATGATTTGTGTAGTGACTTTCTTCAGGGCTAGTGTCTGTGCTATATTCTTGCACTCTTACTTTCATGTTGTATATTGTAAGTTCTGTATATCCAAAGGGAGTGTATTTGCTTGTGTTTTTTCATTTTTATTAAACAGCAGTGTTTTACTTTGTGTATACAGAACACATTAACCATGTGTTTTTTGTATACAGATGGGTCGTGACAGTCATTGTTTGTTACTCAGAATTTAAGTATTTTAGGTTGTAAACTCAATTGTAGTATTTTTTTCCCCCTGGAAGTGCACTTAGCTTAAAGAGAAGTAAAGCAAGAAAAACATATACTGTTTTATTTATGATATGTCTTCCTAATGTTACAAAGAATGTCTATGACTTCTGTAAATGTAACTTTAAAAATCAAAAGTAAAAGTTTAGCATACAGCTGCTAAAACATTTCTAATTTCAAGGAAGTTATTTGAATACATTTAAAAGAATTCAGTAATGGATTGATGCATAAACATTCACAATCTAACACACTATTGAACATAATGCTTTTTAGAGAGATTATTAATAATTTCATTGACTTCACCAGGAATGCTCAAAGTAGAACCCATTATACATTATAGAAAGTGTTTTCAAGGAAGAATTTTATGTGTTAGGTATTTTAACATAGCTTTTTTGGCGATGTTGCACGATCATCTAACTGATGCTAGTAATTATGGACTAAGTCCAGAATGACATGCAAGACTAAGGTCGGATCTGTCTTGGTACAGAACACATGGAAACAAAAGAAGGTACTGAAAGGGAGTCATACTAACATCTTAATCCTGTTTAGGAAATCAACACTTACTGAAAATAGCAGAGTTGTGGAAGAGCCATAATTGTATGGTATAAAAGTTTGAATTTGAGGTTGAGGGGGAATCTGAAGATTTTTTTAATAGAAAACCAAATGAAGTAGATTACTAGTAAAGCTATACTGGTGTTTTCTGCATACAGGTTATTAGACTAAAAATTGCTTTTGAAAGTTATAATAAAGAGAAAGCAACAGAAAAAATACAGGGACATATTTTTCTTCTTTTTGTAGAATTTTTAGGAGACATTGTGTCTGCCAGTGTCTCATTGATCACAATTATTGGTCAATTCCTAAAATGGTGCCCCAGAACCATACCTGTCCTGTTGTGGTGAGAAAGGTCCATGTTGCTTTTTCTTTCTCCTTTTGGCAATACTCTTCCTGGCAATACTTTTCCTAGTTGGAAAAGTCTGAGTCTTTCAGAATACAAATGGACCAATAATGTCACTGATACGTTGGTCTAAGTAGCAGTACACTTTCCCTTTGGATTTCCTCTAAGTGCTGGAGACAGCTCTGTTTATGTGGCTGAACTCTCCATGGCTTGATGCCTTTCTTTGTGGGAATTTGCTTTGCAGTAATTATGTACCTTGTGAATGAAATTTAATATTCATGAATTGACAAATACACATCTATTGTTATCTGAACCAAGGAACAAACTATCTGAGCTCTGATCTCCTGTTTACATTTTTATAACAGTTTTTTTTACTCTTAGTTTGTTTTATGGTACTTGGGGGAAAAATAGGACAAGCTTTTGTATAGTTGTTTTATAGTTGAACCCATTCATTGATGTTAATTGCAGATTAAATGATCTAGTTTTTAAAGGGATGACTTCTAAGTCATTATATTAAACTATGACAACGGTTCAGGAAAACAACACTGTTCTGGAAGGCTATTTAAGCACACATATAAATATATGAATGAATTATTGCGAGGATTTAAACACAGGCTTAAAGCAGAGTATGTGCAAAGTGCATAAAAATGATAGATGCTTAATTAAGAGGTTGTATGCACCCAGATATGTGTAATAGATACTGTGTAAAACCTCATGCCCAAATTGATTTATCTGAGGCAATGACAACAGATCAGTGATGCTTGACTGTGTGAGGACCCTATAACTTGTTTCAGTTGAGTTGAAGCATTGAAAGGCTCTGGGTCAGTTTGTGACCCCCTATCTCAAATCTTTATACTGTGCTCTGGAATATAAAGATTGTGGGTGAATATACTGAGGATGAATTCCTTAGATGCAAAAGTTAGTGTAAGGCATTGCAACATACTAGAGTGAGTATAATCCTCAGTAAACACCTGGCATAGAATAATTTAGTAGCTTAAACCTGGGTATTTATTGGCATTTTAGATATCCATGAGTTTCTGAGGCATCTGCATGGGCTGATGGAATTTAACAAAGAACTATGACCTGTGGAGATACTTCTGAATTCCAGGTGGGATACACTAGGACATCTAAATATGTGCTACACGTGTGTATAGGCTACAGTCTCCAACCCAAAGACAGTAGAACAGGGCTGGGTTCTGTTCTTTTACTGTGAAATGAGGATATTTTGAGACAACTCGGAAAACGTTCAGAGTTTAGAAGACCCAACTGTAAGGCAAGTCTCCCTGTTTCTTCTGGGATTCCACTTCCTGGAATTGTCACACATTAACTGTGTTTCATATTAAAAAACCAAATATGGTTTTTATATGTGTAGCAGATTGCTACAGATGTTTAATTTATTTCACTGGCTTTTATATTATTCCAATATAAATGTGAAAAATTGAGAGTGAAATCCCACCATCCCTCTAACAGAATGTATAACTCAATTCCTGTATCCCAAATTCTTAAATGTACTCTGAACGATTTACACATAAAAAGAGTGAAATGTTTCTAACAAAACTGGTATTTTTAATTTGCTTAATTTGATTGCCTGCATATGCAGAACATGTTTTTATTAACTAACCAGTTTTTCATTGTTGGATAGAGACAAGCTTCGTGTTTTTCAAAGTGTTTTAGGAAAAATAACTTTGAAGGTTTTCCTGTATCTCAGACACCTTGTATCATTTTGCCACATGCAGTCATGAACATGCCTTTTTACCCTACTAATACGTTACAACCTAAGGAAAAATGGATGGTTCTTCATTGCATGCTATTTTTAGTGGTTTTAAACTTTGCATGTTAAAAGAGCTTTGGATTTTTAACAGGTCTATGGGATAGAATATGAATTTGTGTGAACTGGCACAGAGTAGTAGGGAAGGATGAGTTGGCCCCATCCTGCTCTTAGTTGGCTACTGCCATTACACAGCATGGGAGGGCGGAGCAGCCTGCACGGAGCTGGTTTTTTCCTCTTCTACACTTGGCAGACTCTGGCAGGGAATGGCTCCATTCTTTGCTTATCCTTACTTAGCGCAGCTACACCATGTATAGGCCTGGCTCAAGATATTTCTCCTCTAAAGTATAAGAAACCCAGCAAGCAGATTGTCAGTCTGCGAGTTGCAATCTGTTTCCTCATCTGTTTCTCAGAGCAATGTCTTGCTCGCAGCAAAGCCACAGTTTAGCCTGATGGCCTCAGTGCATGCTGAGAACCACACAAATCTACTTCTATCCTTGTGCACAGCCCTGTGATTCATTCAGCTGCCTCTGCAAAATCAGATCACACTTAGAAAGGGCTTGAAGAGCAGAAAGTATTTAAAATATTTAAATAGTTTATGAGGCTTTAGTTAGAATTTTAACAAAGTTATTTTCACATTATAATTTAAATAACAAATGGATCTCCTAATCAACAAAAATAA